ATCGAAACCCTCATGTCCATGCCCACATTCTGCCTCAACACCCTGAACTACGACGCAAAACCCGGCGACACGGCAACAAATCCACGCTCCCGTCGCGCGGCGCGCCGAGCACCGGACTCCCACCTATGGGAACATTCACGGAACGCCGAACTGGCCAGCCTTGAAAAACACGGCACACTCTCGTTCATTCCCAAATCCACCCTTCTCGCGCTCAAATTCACATTGCACCACAAACGCGATGAAACCGGCCATTTAATCTCCCGGAAAACTCGCTGCACAGCTCGCGGCGACAAACAAATCCCCCACGTCCACCACGACCCTGACAACATCTCGAACCCCGTGGCCGACCGAGATGCTGTCCGCTGTGCCCTCGCCCTCGCTGCCGGCACCGCACTTATCGCTGAACACTGGGACCTAGAGTCCGCATTTCTCCACGAAATCCTCGGCCCGGAAGAAACAATATACGTGCACCAACCCCCCCATTTGACGGGTCATACAAACACCCCGGCCACGTTGGTGTACTAACAGGCAACATCTACGGCACCAAACAAGCGTGCAAAATATTCACCTCAGGTCTCGCGAACAACCTCAAGCTATGGCACTTTTGACGCCTCACCAGCGACAGCTGCACCTTTATGCTCCGCAATGAAGACAATCCGCACTTTGTCCTCTTTGTTATCACTATAGGCGATCTTCAATCATCAACTCTTCACGCTCCAAATGACCGCAACGCCACCATCAAGCGCGGCGACTGTCGTATCTTAATTTTCTCCGCTTGATGCCGCCACCGATCATCCTCCACTCCTTGTAGTATCTTACACGTGTACATAGCACTCCCACAGTACTTAACACCGTCGTCGCTCATGTCCCCAGTAAAGACGACCCAAGGTCTTGAGTCTCTCCTACATCTAGAAAAGCTCGTTTTGCGGACCTCAAGTGCGAAAAGTCATTGCTCACATCGCACTCCACACCCAGACTCTCCAAAGATTTAAACAACCTTGCTAGCACTACAGCACTCGGTACGGCCCGCCTCTCCGTAATTTCACACTCGTCTTCTGCCACACAATCATCCATCATAGCATCACTGCCAGACTGATTCTGTAGCTCTCCACCATAATGTATTGAACCGCAGGCACCACTAATAGAAGCTTCTGCCACAAGCTCATTAGTCTCGATCTCAATCCATTCCTCCACATCTTTCCTGCAGAATTCTGCAGTTTCTGCAAGGCCGTCTTCTGGCACCAGGCTCAGTCGGGAGAGAAACCCTACTATACCATCCACCATAGATTTATCAATTTCTGTTTCATTTCGACCAGCTTTCCGACCTGCAGCAGATGCCCAACCTCAAATTTCTGTGCAATCGTAAGGCGCGTACGCTTCGCTTTGGCCATCTTTTCAGGATTCATGTTAGGGTCTTTGAGTGAGGTGCCATCACGCCACCAATTTGAGCTGAGGCGCATGAGGAGTGGCCGTTGACGACGTCGTCGTGCATGACACGTGGCAGAACCTGTGTCTGCCGGTTTTGGTGGCACTAATTCCAGGGTGGCAATAATGAAAGCGGCACTATTGCGCGTCCCCCCTGTATCAATTAAATCTACTGTAATTTTCCGAAGATCTGTTTCAGCCAACCGCTGCATCACAGCAGACACATTCCAGCAGAGAATTCAACAGGGGCCAATGTCACGTGTACACTTGGATCCGTGGCGCACAAGCTGCAGCGTCCCCTGACATGCTGATCCCAGATGCTGCTCCTCTCTCCGCGGTCATCCCGCCTTGTTCGTTTTTGAAGACCCAGACGACCCCTGAGGCCAGCACGCTGTCGAGGGGGGCGCAGCTTTGACGAGAGTAACTAGCAGTCCCATGTTTTCATATCCAAGTCTTGCGTTCCTCTTCAGCCTCGTCGCTTATCTGAGACCAGGGTGCTGTCGAGTGGGGCCCAGCTGTCACGAGAACACATTGGACTAGCAGTCCTATGTTTTCATGTCCATGTCTTGCATTCCTCTTCAGCCTCGTCGCTCATCGTACCTACCCATGGTGCCATTGCCAAAGCCATTACTCTTGAGGGCATAATAGCGATCAACGAGGTTTTCTACATGCCGAAACGGAACACTTGTGCAGCCGTCCGCGTGACACCAAGGATGCCACCCCCTCTCTCCTTCGCAGGCGTGCCCACGTCGCGGATGCACGCGACGTCAGCGAACAAGTCACCCGCGCAGTCGTCCACCGCCTCCCCCCTTTCAGATTGCCGGAACCCATGCATCGGCCCCGTCTGCCTCGTGCTGGGCTCAGCGCCGCCCGGCTGCGTCCTGCACCAGTCGGCCGAGAATCTCCATCGCCTCGCCTCCGTCGCGCCCGTTCATCCCGGCTTGGAACAGCTTCGCTGCTCGCGCTGCATCCCGCGAAACCCCGTCCGCTCCGTCCCGCAGCAGGCAAGCCAGTTTAAGCATAGCGTCGCGGTCATGGCACTTCTCGATCGCACGCTCGTACAATCGCGCCGCACGAGCCGCGTTCGTCCGCACTCCCCCCGTGCCTTGTACTAGCATGTCGCCGAGATGCACCATGGCCTGGACGTAGTCGTGCTCTTCAACCGCGCGCTCAAGTAGCTTTACAGCTCGCGCTGCATTCGGCACCCCGTGTCTGTCGTCCCGCAGTAGGAGCGCCAGTCCGACCATAGCAAGGGCATCCTGGGCCTCGTCGATCGCGCGCTCGTACAATTCTATTGCGCGAATCACATTCTTCTCCACTCCCGCCGCGCCAAGGGATAATAGCAGGCCCAGCCCTGTCATCGCGCGCACATCACTGTGCTCCAGGATCGCGCGCTCAAAGAGTTTCGCAGCTCGGACTTCATCAAGCAGAACACCCTCCCCTCCATTCATCATCACGAATGCGAGTTGGCACATAGCGTCGCCATGATGGCCTTCCCGGATCGCACGCTCGAACAATCCGACGGCCCGAACCACGTTTCTCTCCACTCCCTCCGCCCCATCGTCCAGCAGGAGTCCGAGATAGTACATGGCACTGACATCACCACTTCTGTCGATCGCGCGCTCGTACAACTCGACAGCCCGACTCCCGTTTCTTTCCATTCCCTCTGCGCCCTCCTCCAGCAGGACTCCAAGATCCACCATCGCCTTAACATGATCGTGCTCCTTAATCGCGTCCTCGTACAGCTCCACAGCCCGCGCTGAATTTTGTGCCACCCCGTCCCCCCCGTCGCGCAACAAACTTGCTAGGTTGGACATCGCGTTGCAATCATGAGATCTCTCGATCGCACGTTCGTACAACTCGATAGCTCGACTCACATTTCTCTCCACTCCCTCTGCGCCCGTCTGCAGCAAGCAACCGAGATTCACCATCGCGTCGACATCGTCGTGCTCCTTAATCGCGTCCTCGTACAGCTCCACAGCCCGCGCTGAATTTTGTGCCACCCCGTCCCCTCCCTCGCTCAATAAATATGCTAGGTTGAACATCGCGTTGCAATCATGAGATTTTTCGATCGCACGCTCGTACAGCTCGACAGCCCGACCCACATTTCTCTCCACTCCCTCTGCACCCTTCTCCAGCAGGACTCCAAGATTCGCCATCGCCCGAACATTTTCATGTTCGTCTATCGCGTTTTCATACAACTCCACAGCCCGTACTGCGTCCGTTTCGACTCCTTCTGCCCCCTTCGCCAGCAATTTTCCGAGTTTCACCATTGCGTCCGCATCATCGTATTGCCGCACCGCGCGTTCATACAGCCTCACAGCGCGCTGTGCATTGATGCTGACCCCTTCCGCGCCCTCTGTCAGTAGATTGCCGAGGCCCACCATTGCGCCGACATGACCGTGTTCCTCAATCGCGCCCTCGTACATCTTAACGGCTCGTGCGGCGTCCTTCTCAACTCCGTCGCCGCCGTCCCTCAGCATGTTGCCTCGCTTGAACATGGCCTCTCCATCACCATGTTGCTGAGGACCCGCTGGTTGATTCTGCTCGGCGGCGATAATGGAAGCTTCTTCCATACTCTGCGGCGCTTCTGCGGACAACTTGGACATGGCCTCAGTATACTCACAAACGGCACAGTCCCCGCTAGAAATTCACCACCTGCCCGTGCCAAGTACCGAGACAGGGGAGAGAGTGAAGAGAAGCGCAGAGTTTACCTTGACGCCGTGCACGCGCCCCTCGATGACACGTGTGTCATCTCTTGTAATTTAGCTTTACAAAAACTACTTACAGTAAGCCGACTTTTCCTGTTCAACGGCTTTTTTGCAGCCACTGCAAGGGAGTGCTCTTGCATCTCGCAGGACGCCATGCCATCACTCATACTTTGCATCTTCACTACAGAGTCTGTAGTGAAGATGCAAAGTAAATGCTTGATCTGTACTACAGACTCAAGTCTAATCAAGCATTTCTGTTATTAGTAGCTGCCGAGCCGTCGCATTGAGTTCCTCCTTTTTCGCAGCCATAAATGCCAGCCTACACTTTTGCAGATGTCCAATTGCATCATCGATCCTGCCTTTTTCCGCCATAGTCTCTATTTTAGTAAGCAACTGCATAATATCTTTCCGCGGCGGCAGCGGCTCTCGGGCAGTACGTCCATCAAACTGCCTTGCCTATCTGGAGACCCTTCGTTTTTGGCTCAAAATTCGTGCCACCCGCAGAAGGGTAGCACTATATCGGAGCTGGCACTAGCAAAGATGGTACTATATCGCGACCCCCCCTGTAATTACTAAAACGGTAAGCGAAGGATTATGGTCAAGGTGAGGGTCTGGTTAACATAAGGTGGGCCGGCCGGGTCGCCATCGACACCGTTATCCCCGCAGAAAGAGTAGAGCGTAATGCGGTACGAGCGAAGGAGTTGTGGGAGAGGGCGATCGACAAGGCCGCTGACATCCCCGCGTTGGTCAGTCTCGCGGACTGTGGAATAGCGCAGAAAGAGTGCCGCGTAACAGGACACGCGCGATGTGGTTGTATTTAAGGGCAATGATGAACAAGGCGTATAACGGCGGTACAATGGGCGGTGTTTAGGAAGCGTCTGATGTCTAAGGACGCGGAAATCCTCCCAGAACTGAGCGAGGAGGGCGTCGAGACGAACACCGTACGGGCTGCGACACTGTATGAACAAGCGATAGTGAACGGCAATGGCGGTAAAGCGAAATGCAATCTTGCAAGGACAACGAGGGACGGCGCGGAAAGGTTGGCGCGGAAGGGTTTTGCGCGGAAGGGTTAGCACGGAAGGCGGTGGTGCATGCGGTGGAGCGGTTCGAGATGGACCTCAACGAACGTACGCAGAACAAATGAGTGGTGTGTCTCGGGGATAAGATGCGGGACGGGGCGGACGGCGTGGCTGCGGACGCCAATCGAGCCGAGCGCTGGTACGAGATGGCGATCGAAGAAGCCAAAAACGTGGAGGCTTTAGCCAAACTTGCGGCGTTGGAGCAGGTCAGATCGG